TCAAGAGTTTCTCTCTCGTTCGATCTCGAAGATTTCACCGACTAATCGGAGTATAGATCGGAGATTGGATCCGGGAATTCACCGACGAATCCTTTGTGGATTTTGGATCGGTCTATGGCAGTTTGCTTATAAATCATCTCTGATCATCTATAAGTTCACTTCCTTTTGAATTTGATCATCTCGCGAAGCTTGCAGATCCGTCGATCTCGCTCGGTGATTTTGTGTGGGGGTTTAGGTTTAGGGTTTTGAATTTCGATCCCGATTTTTCGATAACGTTTCTGATTGAATGGCTTCGACTCCTGAATTCCTGCTGGATGATCAAACGGACGAGGATTTCTTCGACAAACTTGTTGATGATTCCTATTCTCCCAGCGAAGTTCACGTTTCATCTTCTTCTAAACAGCTGAACTTCGATGACGGAAGTGATTCCGATGACGCCAAAGCTTTTGCGAATCTCTCCGTCGTTGACGATTCCGTGGGTGATGGAGATGGAACATCGAATGAAACTGAGCCGGGGAAAGACGAGGGTGCAAGTAGTTCGGTGGGAAAAGAAGAGCCTTCATCTATTGCTCTGGAAGCTGTTCAATTTATCAACAGTGATGCAAATAAGTTAAGGGATGATGTAGTGAGATCGGGGGTGGATGTTACGCCTCTATCTGAAACAGTAGAAGAAAGCAATATAATTGATGGATCTGGGAGTCCTGGGGTTAAGGAGGTTGATTGGGGCTCTTTTTATGCGGATTCATCTGTAAATGACGGTGGTGGTGGGTTTGGTTCATACTCTGATTTCTTCAGTGAGTTGGACGGAACTGCTGGAGATTTACAGGGAAAAGCGGAGGTAAATGTGGCCAATGGAGGAAACTTAGTCGCCAATGATACAAAGAAAATAAGTGTTGGTTTAGATAATTCGGTAAGTTCCCAGCAGCATCAGGGTGAAGTGCACCAGGATTCTGCAAGTGGGCAATACGTGGATAACAGTCAATCTTGGGAAAATCTCTACCCTGGATGGAAATATGATGCAAGTAGTGGCCAATGGTATCAAATTGATGGTCATGATGCAAGCGTGAATTCACAGGAGAGCTATGCAAACTCAACGAGTAACTGGGAGAGCGTTGCTTCTAATGATAGCTCAGATGTTACTTATCTGAGACAGAGCACAACATCTGCAGTGGCTGGTACAGCTGAGAGTGTGTCTGCTTGGAACCAGGTTTCACAAGTGAGCAATGGATATCCAGAACACATGGTCTTTGACGCGCAATATCCGGGATGGTACTATGACACAATTGCTCAAGAATGGCGCTCCCTGGACAGCTACAACCAGGCTTCTCAAACAACTGGTCAGGCTAATAATCAGCAACTTCAGAATGGTCATGCTCATACAGCTATGTATAACAGTAATAGCGAGAGTAGCGTGTATGATGTTCACGATAAAAAACAGACATTCAAGGCGCAAGAATTTGGTATCCAGAGCCAACACGGAAGTTGGGACCAATCTTATTATGCCAACAATCAGCAGCAGGCTACAAACATGTGGCAATCAGAAAATGCAGGTAAAGCTGAGGCGGCTGTAACTCCTGCCTCTTTATCAAACTTTGGAGGAAACCAGCAAGTAAATAATATGTACAGTACAGGACCTGTTGCTGAACAGTTTAAGCCAAATGAGATCGGAGTTCAGAGCTTCATCCCTCAGCATATGAATGTGACTGGTATCACACAGAATGAACAGAACTCTGTAATTGATGCTCAACAGTCACTTCAGAGAAATCAGCTTTTCTCCTCAAGTGCAGGAAGATCAGCTGATGGACGTCCACCACATGCACTGGTCAGTTTTGGATTTGGTGGGAAGCTCATTGTTATGAAGAATAATGGTGGTTATCTGCAGAATTCATCATTTGGGAGTCAGGTTAGTCCTGAGGTGTGATTTTTCATTAGTCTATTTTACATCCTGTGAAGTTTATGCAAACTATTGTAGAGCTATCAGAAATTTTGTATGCTTATCATGGAAGATGTATGAAATATATCCTCTGATTATAACATCTATAAGTGAATTTTAATTCTGGTAAAATTGCTGATCTTTTCTATCTGATTTAAAGGGTACTGGGGGAAGCTCCGTCTCTGTCTTAAACTTGGCGGAAGTTATTTCTGCGAGTGCCTCTTACTCAAGTCCTAAGGAAGACTCTTTGAGCTACTTCCGTTGTTTGCATCAACAATCTCTTCCAGGTCCCTTGGTTGGAGGAAATGTTGGAAGTAAAGACTTGCATAAGTGGATTGATGAGAGACTTTTGAATTGTGAGTCTTCCAGCATGGATTTTTCAAGAGGGAAGCTTTTAAAGATGCTTCTTTCTTTGCTCAGAATATCTTGTCAGTATTATGGGAAACTCCGGTCTCCTTTTGGCACTGATGCATTGCAAAAGGTGAGCAACTCTTGAGATGTCTTATGAGTTCTTATATTATGAATACATTGTTATAAGTTGCAATTTTCTCTTTTACGCACCTTCCAACAGCCTATATACTATTTATCTCCTCTGTTTATTGAGTGGCATATACATAAATTTACACTACCTATAGGAAATGGATACTGCAGAAGCAGCAGTCGCTAAACTTTTTGCCTATGCCAAGAAAGATGGCATCCAAAGTGGTGGCTATGCTCCTTTTGGCCAGTGCTTGCTGCATTTACCACCTGAATCACAAATGCAAGTGAGTATTGGACCCTATCCCATATTTCTCTTCCAAGGATGAAGGTTTTAAAACAGTCTGTGGTCTTGTTTATGCTTATTAACTCATTTGGGCGAATTGTCCAGGTAACGGCTTCAGAGGTGCAGAATCTTCTGGCTTCTGGTAGGAAAATGGAGGCTCTCCAATGTGCACAAGAAGGTCATTTATGGGGACCGGCGCTTGTTATTGCAGCACAACTTGGGCAACAGGTCCTTTTCCTTGATTGCTATAGATCTAACATTTGACTTTTGTGGTTGTTTGACTGACTTGGTTGATGCTTTAAATTGATGCAGTTCTATGTTGACACTGTGAAACAAATGGCCCTTCGCCAGCTGGTACCTGGATCACCTTTACGAACATTGTGCCTGCTGGTTGCAGGGCAACCTGCTGAAGTGTTCTCCACTGGAAGTACAAGCGATATCACTTTTCCTGGTTCCATGAATATGCCTCAACAGCAAACGCAGGTAATGCATAAACCATCAATTTTTCCTCAGTCAGATAATTTGATAGATTAAAGAGTACAAAAGAACTAGAAACGCGCTGACAGAAAATGTAGAGAAAGAGATTACAATTGTATACTGTCACAAGGAAATGAAACGTCATTACTGAGGAATACGAACTGTTCACCTCTTGTTCCTCCAAAGTATCCGATAAACTCTTTGAAAGCTTATTAAATACTAAATAGGTAAACACACAATCATTAGCCCTTAGTTCTCTCATGATTAAGATACGAAATCAGTCGCTCTCCAACAAATCATTGCTAAACATTAAGCAACATGCTTGAAGTCGGAAACTGGAAGATAATAGATATTTTCTCGTCCATTTCAAAGGACATGGTTTCTTCTGCAGCTCTGCCACAGGGAGTAATAATGTCTTTTTGCTTCCTTGTATTGCAGTTTGGAAGTAGTAGCATGCTTGACAATTGGGAAGAGAATTTGGGTATAATAACTGCTAACAGAACCGCAGATGATGAGCTTGTGATTACACATCTTGGAGATTGCATGTGGAAAGAAAGGGGCGAGGTGGGTTCTCTGCCTTGTTGTAATATTTTACTTCATGGAAGACTTTATTTGTCATGACAATGAACTACTGTTATGAATCAGATAATTGCGGCGCATATTTGCTATTTAATCGCGGATAAGAACTTTGATCCATACTCAGATGGCGCCAGACTCTGCCTTATTGGAGCGGATCATTGGAAATATCCTCGAACTTACGCAAGTCCAGAGGCGATACAGGTGAGTTTTGGTCATTGGAGATTCTATTTTGAACAGATCATATAAACCTTCCGTGTCCTAGAATGTATGCTACATAGAAACTCCAACGGGATTCACCATTTTATTGTTGCTTGTTTGATATTTTCCTTATTTGTTGGTTGATCTTATAATTGTCAGAGAACAGAGTTATACGAATACTCTAAGACGCTGGGAAACTCTCAGTATATCTTGCTACCGTTTCAACCATACAAAATTATCTATGCCCATATGCTGGCTGAAGTTGGTAAACTTTCGGCTGCACAGAAGTAAGGATTAATCCGATTCACTTTACATCATCTACTCCTAGGTTAGACTGTATATGGTTGAATGATGTCGTTTGTGCTGTTGCTCAATCAGGTACTGTCAAGCAGTATCAAAATGCCTCAAGACTGGCCGATCACCTGAAGTGGAAACGTGGAAACAGTTTGTTTCATCTCTTGAAGAGAGAATCCGTATCCACCAACAGGTACAGCCCACACAACTCTGGTTCCAGTAGAAACACATGGAACTTTTTATTTTTCTGGTGGGTTTACATCTGTGGGCGATCTATTCGTTTAAAATGGAAATGTAAAAGAATATTCACATCTGTGAGTTGTCGTTTTCTTTGATTGAAAATGTGAGGGGAAAAAAAAATCGTCTTATGGACATCCGTAAAGCTGGGAAAACCAATAGCTTGTTTCTTACCTAATGATCCAAGCTAACCGGACATTTCAATTTCAGGGCGGGTATACTGTGAATTTGGCCCCAGCAAAACTTCTTGGCAATTTTCTTAACTTTATTGATAGTACGGCACATCGTGTTGTTGGGGGCATGCCACCACCCGCACCACATTCAACAACTGGAAACCTACAGGCAAATGAGTATCATCATCAACAGCACGAAGCCACTAAGTTACCATATAGCCAATCGGCTAATACAATGTCATCATTGATGGCACCTGCTTCAGTCGAACCTAAACATGAGTGGGGTGGGAATGGGAAGACAATGGCAGTACACTCAAGAAGTGTATCAGAGCCAGATTTCGGTAGGACGCCAATACAGGTCTGTATCACGAAAAACCATTTATTTTTATTTTTCTTTATTAGCACCAGATGTTAGGTTTCCATAGTGGTCGATTAATCCTGTGAGTAAGTTGGTACCCGCAAGCTTACTGGTTAAAGGTTTAGAAAACCATTGCTTACTGCTTAAAGGTTTGCCTTTTTATGATAGGATCAGCCTGACCCTTCAAAAGACAAAGCTGCTGATGGGGTGACAAAGGTGAAAGCAACTGGGAGTGTAACGAGCTCTCGGTTTAGCCGCCTTGGTTTTGGCATACTGAAGAACACTGTAGGGAGGGTCTTACAATCTCGGTCATCTAAAGAGGTGCACCTTGCTAAATGTTTAGGTCGCGATGTGACGTCTTGAACTTATTCTAATTATTTTGTGTCATGCTTTGGGTGAAGGCAAAACTGGGTGAGGAGAATCAATTCTATTATGATGATAAACTAAAGAGATGGGTGGAGAGAGGTGCGCCACCCCCAGCTGAGGAAGCTGCACTGCCTCCTCCCCCAACATTAGGCGCATTCCAAAACAACTCATCAGGTTATGAAAACAAATCTGACATGAAGAACGAGATGTCTCCTCCGTCTAGTGGTGGGAGCTGGAGTAGTGGGAGCCCAACTCCGTCAGAGAATTCTTCGGGAATCCCACCAGTCTCACAGGGCTCAAACCAATTCTCAGCCCGTGGGCGTATGGGTGTGCGTGCAAGGTAAACTGACCTTTTGAGGCACTTTTAGAATTATTATAATCTGTGTAGACTATTGTGGATCCTAAATCTTGAGAATGGTAGTGTCACAAAAGAGCTTTCAGAGTGGGATAGGCATAATTTTCTTGATTGTAGTTGCGGGTTGTCCAACTGTTAGTTATATAATTTGTCTACTGTAGATAATGTGTGTGCTTAGAGCTGATCAATTTACGCTCTTTTGGGGCAGATACGTTGACACCTTTAATCAAGGCCGTGCAAACTCCCCGACCATGTTTCAGTCACCTCCCGTACAATCTGCTAAACCTCCGATCCCTGCAAAAGCAAAATTCTTCATCCCAGCAGCGCCTGCATTGTCCGCAAACGACCAGGTAATGGAAGTTGCTGGTGAAACCAGACAGGAAGAGAACACAGCAGAAGAAGCCTCTGCAGGGGCTCCACCACCACCAAGCCAGTCTTCGTTCCAGTCCCCGACACCATCTCCGATGACGATGCAGAGATACCCAAGTCTAGACAACATCAAAAGAAGCGGATCAGGGATGAGCCTGAATGGTGATCTTCCTCTTTCAGGTTCCAGAAGAACAGCTTCATGGAGCGGAAGCTTCAACAGCTCGTATAAGTCTCCAACGAGTTCATCAACATTCAAACCAAGCCCACTCAACAGTAGCAGCAGCAGCTTAGGAGAGGAGCTACAGGAAGTGGAACTGTAAGTTGAAATTCTGTAATATCACAAAAAAAGTTTTGCTCACTGTTAGTCACAGGTAGATCCAATCAAATGTTAATCCATGAGTTACCCAAAATACATAAAAAAAACAAAAAAGACTTTCTCTGCTTCTCTCAATGATAGGGGCAAATATGTATGCAGTTTGTATTGTTTGTTTCTTTTTCTTTCTTTAATATATGATAAAATTCATTAATTTTTCTTTGTTAACAGACTTGATGAGTTACACAATAATAATCATTTTTTCCCCTATATGTAATCTAAAATATCTGACCATCCCCTTTTCTTAATTTGGTACGGTTCTGGTTTTTCGGATTCAAGTTTCTCGATTTCAGCATACAAAATTTGTATTCAATAAAATTCCAGTTTATTTGTTCCAAAATCGGATTATCATTCCGTCTGATTTCAGTTTAAATAATTTCGTTTTGACTTGATTCGATTCGGTTTTGTACTTTTGTTCCTATCTCAAAAAAAAAGTGTCCGAAATCGTGGTCGCTTTGGACCGGAAAAAAGCGATAGTTAGTTTTTTCAACACGCACGTGGCCTATTCACTAGGAATTTTGTTTTATATGGGCTGGCAATTAATAATTGGGCCGATAATTTTGGATTTATGAATATAATTATAATTAATTTATCTGAGTTTGTCTGATCCTAGCTACTATCTACTGTAATTAATTAACGAATAAACCGGTTGGTTAACCATCTGGAGGAGCGATCTAATGCCTACCGTTGGATTCATCAGATCCTGTGAGAAGAGAGAGTCACTCCCTCCTTCTTCCTCCTAACACGTAAAAACCAGAAATCAATGAAGATGACATCTGGATCACGAATTTCTTCAAACACGTTGTGAGCATTTTGTAGAAACAGAATCTCATCAAGAGAAATTGGAATCAAACCGAATCTGAGACATCAAAAAAAGAATCTTTTATGTTTTATGTTTCGTTGTCATGAAGCTGTCGTTGCAATTGCAAAGAAACGTTGCCATTGTCGCCGGAGCTGCATCTGGTTCGTCCCCGTCATTGTGGAGATACGAGGTGTCGGAAAAGCTGTAAGTTTCTTAGTACGCAGATCTTTGTATTTTGACAATCAGATCGACCCACCATGCTTCGATTGCATGTATGAATGTCAATAGGAAGACCATCGTTCCAATCATATCGGATATTTATTTTGGTGAGAATGATTTTTGATGGTTGAGATAGGAAAGGGATTGAATTAGACGTATCGGAGATTGGATCGGAGAATTCACCGACGAATCCTTTCTAGGTATTTTGGATCGGAGTCTATATCATCATGCTCCACTTGATCGTTGCGTTAATTTCCTTTGCCATTTGATCCTCTCGTCATGAATCGAGCTAATCATTTCATCTCTCGCAGTGATTCTCTTTGGGTTTAGGTTAGGTTTAATTTGATTCCGATTTTGATTGATGGCTTCGGCTTCTCAATTCTTGCTTGAGGATCAAACGGACGAGGATTTCTTCGACAAACTTGTTGATGATTCCTTCTCTCCCACCGAAGCTCAGGCTTCATCCTCTGCTCAGCGGCTTAAATTCGACTACGGTAGTGACTCTGGTGACGCTAGAGCTTTTTCGAATCTCTCCATTGTTAACAATTCTGTGGATGATGGTGATGGTGATGGAGATGGAACATTGAATGAAGCTGAATTTGGGAACAATGTTGCAAACGAGGAGGATGCAACTAGTTCGGTGGGAAAAGAAGAGCCTTCATCTATTGCTCTGGAAGCTGTCCAATCTGTCCACAGTGATGCAAAGAATGATGAACTAAGATCGGAGGTGGCTGATATGCCACTACCTGAAACAGCAACAGAGAGCAAAATAGTTAATGAGCCCAGGATTCCTGGGGTTAAGGAGCTTGATTGGGGTTCGTTTGATGCGGATACAACCGTAAATGACGGTCGTGGGTTTGGTTCATACTCTGATTTCTTTACTGAGTTGGAGGAAACTGCAGGAAATTTACAGGAAAAGGCGGAGGTAAATGTGGCCAATGGAGGAAATCTAGCATCCAATGAAACAAAGAATATGAGTGTTGGTTTAGATAATAAGGTAGGTTGTCAGCAACATCAGGGTGAAGTGAATCACGATTCTGCAAGTGCGCAGTACGTGGATAACAGTCAATCTTGGGAAAATCTCTATCCTGGATGGAAATATGATGCAAGTACTGGCCAATGGTATCAAGTTGATGGTCATGATGCAAGCGTGAATTCACAGGAGAGCTATGCAAACTCAACGAGTAACTATGCAAACTCAACGAGTAACTGGGATGGCGTTGCTTCTACTGATAACTCAAATGCTGCTTATCTGAGACAGAGTTCAGCAACTGCAGTGGCTGGTACTGCTGAGACTGTGTCTGCTTGGAATCAGGTTTCACAAATGAGCAATGGATATCCAGAACACATGGTCTTTGACGCGCAGTATCCGGGATGGTACTATGACACAATTGCTCAAGAATGGCGCTCCCTGGACAGCTACAACCAGGCTTCTCAAACAACTGGTCAAGCTAATAATCAGCAAATTCAGAATGGTCATGCTCATACAGCCATGTATAACAGTAATAGCGTGTATGATGTTCACGATAAAAAACAGACATTCAAGGCACAAGAATTTGGTATCCAGAGCCAACACGGAAGTTGGGACCAATCTTATTATGCCAACAATCAGCCGCAGGCTACAAATATGTGGCAATCAGAAAATGCAGGTAAAGCTGAGGCGGCTGTAACTTCTGCCTCTTTATCAAACTTTGGAGGAAACCAGCAAGTAAATAATTTGTACAGTACAGGACCTGTTGCTGAACAATTTAAGCCAAATGAGATCGGAGTTCAGAGCTTTATCCCTCAGCATATGAATGGGGCTAGTGTCACACAGAATGGACCTTCAAGTTTCTCGAACGATCTCTATAGTAGACAGAAAACTTTAGATGATGCTCCACAGTCATTTCAGAGCAATCAGCTTTTCTCCCCAAGTACAGGCAGATCATCTGATGGGCGACCACCATATGCACTTGTCAATTTTGGATTTGGCGGAAAGCTCATTGTTATGAAGGATAATAATGGTTCTCTCCAGAGTTCATCATTTGGGAGTCAGGTTAGACCCGAACTGGTATTTTCCATTAATTTATTTTACACTTTGGGAAGTTTATAGATATTCTCACTTTAAAAAAGTCATTATCTTATCACAGAACATGTATGAAACAGATTTTCCAATTATTAATCTGTTTCACTTCTCCTTTATCTATCTGACTCAGAACGGAAGTGGGGGAAGCTTTATCTCTGTCTTAAACTTGGCAGAAGTAATTTCTGGGAGTGCCTCTTATTCAAGTATGGGGGAAAACTCTTTGAGTTACTTCAGTTGTCTGGATCAACAATCTCTTCCAGGTCCCTTGGTTGGAGGAAATGTTGGAAGTAAAGACTTGCATAAGTGGATTGATGAGAGACTTTTGAATTGTGAGTCTTCCAGCATGGATTTTTCAAGAGGGAAGCTTTTAAAGATGCTTCTTTCTTTGCTCAGAATATCTTGTCAGTATTATGGGAAACTCCGGTCTCCTTTTGGCACTGATGCAACGCAAAAGGTGAGAGCAATTCTGGATACCTCTTGTCAGTTTTCTTCATAAGGAAACTATTATGTATTTCAATTTTCTCATCCTTGTATATACACTGCAAACAGGAAACAGATTCTGCCGAAGCAGCAATAGCTAAACTTTGTGCATTTGCCAAGAAAGATGGCGTACAAAATGGTTGTTATGCTCCTTTTAACCAATGCATACAACAGTTACCACCTGAATCACAATTGCAAGTGGGTGTTGGACATTATATCTCCTATTTCTCTTTTGAGGAAGGTCTTAAAATTAATGTGGGTTTTGTTTTTGCTTATTAACTCATTTGGAAGAATTGTCCAGGTAACTGCTTCAGAGGTGCAGAATCTTCTGGCTTCTGGTAGTAAAATGGAGGCTCTCCAATGTGCACAAGAAGGTCATTTATGGGGACCGGCGCTTGTTATTGCAGCACAACTTGGGCAACAGGTCCTTTTCCTTGATTGCTATAGATCTAACATTTGACTTTTGTGGTTGTTTGACTGACTTGGTTGATGCTTTAAATTGATGCAGTTCTATGTTGACACTGTGAAACAAATGGCCCTTCGCCAGCTGATACCTGGATCACCTTTACGAACATTGTGCCTGCTGGTTGCAGGGCAACCAGCTGAAGTGTTCTCCACTGGAAGTACAAATGATATCTCTTTTCCTGGTTCCATAAATGTGTCTCAACAGCAACCCCAGGTAATGCATGAACCATCTATTTATTTTTTTCGGAGTCAGACAATGTGATAGATTAAAGAGGGAACAAATAATTTAGAAATGCTTTGTCAAAAAATATAGTGAAAGAGATTACAATGGTAAACTCCCCCACAAGGAATTGAAAAATTCTTCCTGAGGGTAACCCTCTTGTTCATCCGAAGAATTCGTTTAAAAAAAACCCTACTGCTCTTCAAGAGCG